GATCAGAGGACATTAACAAGTGAACAGGCTGGGCACAATCTGGGCCGGAAGGGCCCAGGCGGGAACCAACTGAATAATAACTAAAAAATATTTAATTATTTAGGTGAGCTGCTTAGAGATACGTGCAATTTTTAGAACGAGGAGTACCCGAGCAGTTCTTGGTACTATGACCTCCTTTCTGAGAAAAATATTATGTCCTTCTTTATGAGCTCCTTCAACTTGATCTGACCTCTACTGCGGAGCAGAAAAGGCAGACCTTGAATTCAAGATGGCTGGACCATAGTGATTAGCCATTTAGCCCAGCATGCTACATTTACTTTGAAAACTGAATTTATTAATTATTCCTGCTTCTCAAGAAATAGCATTATTCTTCTCCCTGCACTTTGTGAAGAACAGGTTAACTAATACATGAATATAAAATATTGAATTGCATAAAATAGGTATACAAAAAAGTAGTTGCGATCTAAAGTTTCCACCCATTTTTGACCTAGTGACCTATTATGCTCGTCCAGGAGTTGTCGCCGCCAGGGTGCGCATGTGCATCAAAATTATCCTCCGTACGTACGAGTACGTGCGAGGTGAGGGCCAGGAGTTATCGACGCACCCCCAGCAGTGACGGCCCATAAACTGCGTGCGCGTCCGCGGGCCCAGAACACAGTGCTAAACATGCCAGGGAACGTGGAATATGTTGCGAGAATTTCGTTCCCAAACATGTACTATCCTATGATTATCTATTCTGTATGTATCACGGGGAAAATATTTTTCCCACACCTGATTTTTTCCCTTTCCTTTATTCTCTCTTTCTTCGAGCATCTTGTATAAAATCAACATATTAAACAACATGCAGAGATGGGAACATTATATAAAATTAAATTCGAGTGAAATAAATCTCTCCCACACCTCGGTTTTAGTTCCTGTCGACTCATGCTGAATTTACGCTCGACTTGTACTAGAGTTATGGTGGCTACTTAGGTTAATTTTTAGGTATAATTGGCATAATTAAAAGTTTGGATGTTGACAAGAGAACCTGATTCTTACGACATCTTTAACTAACTGTAAAACTCTCATAAAACATCCTAATTCTTTTTTATGACATGCTCATAAAATTCGGATGTAGGAGGGGCATGTTTTACTGCTATAAACATTGTAGCGTCAAACTAAGTTATGGGTCAAAGTCTAACTAAAACAATGCCGAGTGAAATCATGCATCTTATTTTCAAACACTTCTATATTCTAGGTGTCTGAATTTTAAAATGATTTCAGGCAACACTCTTATACAACCAACTAGTACAAGTAAATTGTTACTCTTATGATTTATTATTTGTCTTTGTATCGTAACATTCATTTTTTTTTGTCTTTGACTGACTATAGAAATCATTGTCAATTGTCAATTGTCTTTGTGCCGACATAGATCAAATCTTGTCGGGTTTGTGGTTTTGCCTAATGGGTTCTTTATTCTTACATAAATTGCAAGGAACTAAACCTGCAATTTTAGTTTAAAATATATGCAACAACTATCGTCTAAAAGGAATCGAAAATTCAGGCACTTGGATTTTAGCAAGTCTCATTTTCAAATATGGGAAGCATATCCTATTAGACAGTACTAGCTCCTATCTAAAACAATGTAATGTGAAAGCCCATATAAGAACTTCAGAATGATTACTTCAATAAAACGATATAACAAATGTAGAGAAGGCGCAAACTATTGGTGTGAAAATGAACCAGGCCTATCCTTCCCACTTTCTACAGTTGCTTTAAAATGAAAATGAAATGCAAAAACATATATGATAAACGTGGAAAACAGGGTAGCAACCGGTTGCCGGGTTACTTCCAGGGGCAGAGTTAGGGGGGCATGCCCCCCTAACATCATAGAATGAGGTGGGATCAAGATGCACAACTTTATATCACACTTCTTCATCTCACACTTATGGGTCCTCTTAGCTTTCAAAACCCAAAAAAAGCTAACACGGCCTAAACGACATGCGCTTCTGGTAGATAAGTCGGACTCTTCCCTCTCTTTTCTTTTCACTGCTAGTGTCCATCCTCTTGCTACGTGATTCGTTGGAATGGAAAGATAATTGATGTTGTACGTCCTACTCCGGCATGGACTTGAGGCTACTACCCAAACCACATGGACTTAGCCGGCACATTTTCTATAAATCTTGCTAGGTGTATATATTTTTGCAAGGGCAACGACGACGTTGGCGGGTCGGCTAGCAAGCTAGCTTAGGTCTCCATCGGATCAACGCCGTCCTCCGATCCGCTTGGTACATGCGCTAAGAGCCCAGGAGCTTTAACACCATATACTCTGTTCATCTATTGGTATAGGAACAAACTAAATTCAGCTGCAACAGGTACTTCATTGACGTCTCTCACCATTTGATCGACGCCGGGAGGCGGAGCCAACACACACACACACACAACATCATAACAAAAAAAAATACATAGTACATAATTTAATAATCTATGTTTATATTAGCAAGATGTAACAAAAAGTTCTTGTCATATATATATTTTTTATATCTTTTGAACAATAAAATAACATAAAATACAATTGGAATATAATATTTTGATTTATTTAAACTTTTTTGCCTGCCATGCTAGGACACATTTAGTGAAATTTTAGATTTTACTGAATGTGCAGTTACATTTCAGCATATTTTACATTTTGCTGAACCCGTACCTAACTAGTAATAACAATCAAAGCTCAAAGTGCAAAAAATGCACCTTAAAAAACCTAAATAGATGAGCTATACTTAGTGTGTATAATTTCTGGCTCCCTCACTAGGTAGTGCTCCATGAAGATCGATGGTGCATGAGGTCAAAGTATAAATATACTCCTACAAGTTATCCAAAATCGTTGTCCGGAACTTTGCCGCAAAGGGGACTGCAACGTGGTTCATTTAATCGTGGATATAAGATAAGAAGACAGCATGTCACAGGCCACGCCGCCTCCTCCCTAGCCCGGTCCGGGTGGTGCTCCTAGCGCCCTAGCCGGTAGTGGCAGCGGCAGCGGCCGTGGCCCCTCCGAATCCAGAAACTCCGCAATGCACAGGGACCCCGCCCAGCCGCAGCAGTCATCACTCATCGGTAGCAATGCCCTACGAGCCAGCGCCGCCTGCCACGCAACACACAGAACGTGAGCCATCATCGCCTAGCTCGCGTCTCGGTCTCGATCGATCGCTCTCTAGGTCGGACGTGTTTTGTGGCTGCTGCACTGCACACGCTCATACTGGTAGTACCGGTGGCATGCAGCATCGTACGCTGCACGCCACCACGATACTGCATGCTCCTGGCACGGCATCGTGTAGTAGTAAAATTAAACGACGTGCAGTGCAGTGCAGTGCAGTGGAGCACGGCCCGTACGTTGGTGAATTGAACCTGGCTGTGGCTGGTTCGAGCTTAGCTTTTGACCACGGCGGGCACGGGCAGGGGACGGTACGCAGGCAAGGCAGGCGGCCGCAGCGGCAGCGATTGGGCTGGCACCAGTGCCGCCACATGCGCGTGCCCGGTCACCGTAAGTTTCCGATTGGCCTGGGCGCAGCCGCCGGCCGGGCACAGCGTCGCTGTCCGGGTCCAGGCGCCAGGCGGTCCCTCCCGCCTCGCGCGAGGTTTCTGACCTGCAGGCCGCGGCTCCGGGCTTCTCTCCTCTCCCCAGGCGGCCAGGCCCCCCACCTCCTACGGTTAGCGTCCTACAGTTGTCCGTCGTGAGGGAGAGGGGCCCGTATGTACGTAAACATTGTACTGTAGATCTGCGGTACAGTACGTACGTCTCGCTGTACCGCGCCTTCGGCACTTGCGCAAATTACATCCTGTTCTATCGTCTCTTGGCCTTAATCACGGAGTCATCTAAAAAAAAGGTTAATTGCTCCTTCATCCTAAAATAAATCAACTTCTAAGATTATCCTTAGTCAAATTATTTTGAGATTGACCAAATTAGAAAAAAAAATCCTGAAATAAAACAACTAGTAAAATTGTCCTATACTATCAAATTACTTTAGATTTGATTAAATTTATAGAAAAAATCAATATTTATGACATCATATTAGTATCACTAGGTACACCATAAAATGTATTTTTATAATATGTTTGTTTGGTGTCATAATGCTGTCAGTTTTGAAATTTTGGTCAAACTTAACATAGCCTTACTTATGGTAATTCTAGGAGTAGGAGCTTAGTATCATCTTGGGAGTAACTGCTTCATGCTTCATGGTAATTTACTACCAAAGACAACATGACAATACATATGAGGCATGCGGATCCAACTCCTTTGATACAGGTAATATTGCAGGAGCGGTGCTCATTGCTCGATTGATCCGCATATGCTCGCACAATTATGTTGTACGTAGTCCATTGAATACAGAGATCTTGCCATCAAGTGCATTTAAACGGCCAAAAAGTGCGCTAGGAAGTCCAGTGCCCGAAAGCGATTGCTCGACAGAGAGAGGAATGGCGGTGGATCAGTGGATGGAACATTGGCAGCAGGTCGAGTAAGAGGTAAACAGGAGGTCCACATAGGCGCACACACAAACCTCCATTTACACGACAATACATACACGCGATTTTTTATGCTTAAAAACACACACACACACAAAACTAGAAAAGCAAAGCAGAAGCAAGCTAACGTGGGAAGCTAACGAGCCAGAGAGGAAGGATCGTCCCTTCGCTGCCATGCTATTTTGGTTAACGCTAACTACCGGCGGTGGCGGCTCATCGCCCGTCCGGCTCCAGCATACCAAAATAGGCAAGTAACCCCACCGCACGCCCCAAACACAGGCCATTAGCAACTTGCGGAAACCCTGCACCCACCACAAAAATCTAGCTACTGGAGTAGTCGCCGTCCCCCCAGCTGTACACATCATGTCATCGTCGTCTTTACCTTCTTCTTCGCCATCATTTAATTTCTTGCAAGTAACTCGCTCGTCTTCGTTCGTTCGTCATGGTTGCCTGTTGTCGTCCTGTAAAGCTGGTGTGCTTGACCGGGCGGGCCGCCCTGGTAGCTAGATGCTACTACTATGCTTCTCAAACTGGGCCAGCCTGTTGTCGCCGAGCCTCGTATTGTACGCGGCCTTCTTGTACCCGCCCCACGTGAACTCCTTGTACAGGCTCTCCTCGCCCTCCGCCAGCAGCTCCGGCAGCGCCACGATCCGCTGCTCCAGCGGCGGTCCCGCGAAGTAGATGAAGGAAACCCTAGACCTGAGGCTGTTGGTCACCACCCGGTGCTTCACGCTCTTGAACCTCCCGTTGGTCAGCACCTGTACACAAAACCAGTCACACATCCCTGTGAGACATGCAGATCAAGGTGCGTTGCTCTGCAGCTATCTAACGCGTTCTTGCCGTCGTGTGGTGTGGTTCACTTATTTTAATGCCACTCATGCGTGATGACTGATGAGTTGACTGGCCGCCCGGCCGGCATTCCGTGTGTGGCCTTTTCAGTTTGACTTGTCCACGAAAGCGCGCACTAGATTTTTAATAGCATGTTGAAGGCAGAATCTAGCAACTAGCTTTGCTGGTGCAGCACTGTAGAAGAAAGGCGGATACAAAAACACACTCGAGCGCGGGCCGCAAAAACAAAAGAAATCGGTGTCACATCACGTGCCAAATTAAAACGCCTACCTGCAACGAGTCGCCGACGTTAACGAAGAAGGCGTCGCGGTCGGAGGGCACGGACACCCACTGCGCGCCGTCGCGGAGCGCGATCTGCAGGCCGGACGTGCCGTTGGAGCGGAGCACCGAGATGAGCTGCGGGTCGGTGTGCTCGCCGAAGCCGGTGGCGCTGCAGCCCAGGCCCTGCAGCGCTGGGCAGGGCGGGTAGTGGTTCACGCGGAACACCTGGTCGCTCCCGGCGCCGGCCACCATCGAGCTCAGCGCGTCCGCGTCCGCAATGCCCAGGCCCTCCGCCATCGCCTCCAGCACACGCACCGCCACCTTCCGCACCGCCGCGACGTACTCGTTCAGCGCGCTCCTGCAGGAACAGCAAGCAGCGGTTAATCTCAATCGGTGCTGCACCGGCTTGCCTGCGAAGACAAGGCACTCGTATAGCAGTATGCTCACCGGAACGCGGCGGTCGAGGGGACGGGGCAGGCGTCGGAGAGCGACGCGGAGTCGACGGCGAGGAGGAGGTACTCGAGCCACCCCATGTCGCCATTGAGCCCGATCCGCTTGCTGCCGTAGCCGAACGGGTACGCCGGGCCGGCGCGGTCCTTGTCGGCCTGCGCCTGCGCGAAGAACCTGACGGCCTCCGACTCGGCCCTGCCCATGGTGGCCGCGGGAACGCCGTGGTTGACGACCTTGAAGAATCCGAAGCGCTCGCAGGCGTCGACGATCGCCCGCGCCGCGCCGGGGCTCGACAGGTCGACGACCGGCACGCCCGAGAAGGTGTCCCTGGGGCCCGGGGACCGCAGGAGCGGGATCTGGTCGACGACAGGCGGGTTGGCGAGCACCACCATGGCTGTCTGGCCTGGCCTGTACTGTACTGTACGGCGGGCGGGCGGGCGAGCGAGCGAGGCGGATGAACAGAGGAGGTCGAAACAGGGCAAGCACGCTGAGAACAGGGGAGGTGGAGTCGAGGTGGTGCTGTGCTTGTGTAGTACGGCTGCTGCAGCAAGTGCATGGGGGGGAGAAGTGGGAGAGCTCGTGGGGGCGTATATATAGATCAGCCTGTGCCGGGGACGAGCCCCGCCCGGAGCGAAGCGAGAAGGGACGGGGCTGCACCTGGCTGGATGGGCCCCAGCTGACAGGGAGACGAAAAGGATGCATCGGGGGTGGGATCGCTTTGGGTGCATCGTGCCGATGGAGCCAGGGCAGTCGGGTGCCGGGCCGCGATCCACCGGTGGCAGCCCGGCCGGCCGCGCTGCATGCATGGCTCAACGGTAGAGAATTTTTATTTTATTTTTAACACTTTTTTAAACTAATTTTAAATCTAACATTTTTTTATTTTTTTCAAAACTAACACGCACCTATTTCTCGAGGCGATCGCATGCGGTGGCCGACGAGAGGGAATAGCTGATACCGACCGGTAATGTGAAGGTATTTGCCGCCCACCGATCGGCGCCCGGCCCCGCCGCTCCCAGTGCGATGTGACCCCTTCCTTGGCGTGAGAGCGGCAGGCCCGCCGGCCCGCCGGGACCGCCAAAGGCCAGGCCAGCGCGCGCGCCGCTGATCTGATCAGGCGCAAGCCAGACATGCGCGGATCAAATAAGAGTGCGTACGTGAGACAGTGAAGATGATGTTTGGTTAGGGACGACCTAAGATGAGATGAACCTGCCCTTGATCACGCGGTATTGACTCGGCTCCTCAATAACTGCCATGCCTGGGTCCGAACGGCACCGGCCGTGATGGTGGCGTGAGATTCACTACCCACCACCGTTTACTCCATCCCCCCTATCGATTAATAACAAAGCTATAATTGAGAGGTGTGTATGGTACAACTAACAATCGTTTTGTTGCGGTATGACCGCAGAGAGGTACAAGACCAAGGATTGGCGCGTGACACAACGGGACATTTATGGCGGCGAGGATCGACACCGATCGATCGCGGGTCCCCATACGACCAGCACACCTTCGAAAGGCGGTGGTGTGGTCTACGAGGCATATCTGAGGAGGCGATTGTCGAGGAAGATGTGATCGAAGATGATGGGTGCAGCGTTGCCACTCCACACACTACTGCAGAGCCCCTTCAAAGATACATGGTAAGATACTTGAATGGTACAATTTGTTATCCATTTGGTATTAAGTATGTGTACTAAAACTGTCCTCCTCCATAGCGACACAATTGTCAAGGCTGTGTAGGCACGCCGGCTTCGCGAGTCTAGAGGGTCTGAAGTTGTTAAGGCTTTGTGGACGTAAACATAAACTTGTTCGTTTGAAAATATTTTTTAGTGTATATGTGTTTGGAAAATGCACTAACTTTAAACGTCTATTCATGCAGAGTGATAAGATCAGCAGGAAGCTAGCTCAAGTTGAACATGGACACTCCTTGGATGGAACCCGTAGTCAGATGCGGTAAACGTCTTCTCGCTCTTTGAGGAGGACAGCTGATCGGCTCTTCTCGATCGACCGCTGTCCTTGTGCACCACACGACATTATGCGGCTGGGAAGGACCACGCTCTCGTAGTTTCAGCTGGGACCCTTGATCGAGATCGGCATGTCTCTAGGTGATGCCCCACTTGGTACCCAAGAGCTAGGCGCAAAAGTAGGCATTGGGAACTGGGAATAAGCAATGCTGCTGGCCTTGGTGAGACAAAGCGAGTGGAACCAACCAATATTATAGGCGTGCATATCTCGATGGATTGCACACGAGCATCAACATTGGCTACACTCCCAATGTGTTGCCTATAAATCCCAGTCTGAGGGATCCTTACACTCCTGTGACTTATTTGGTTATGTCGAATTTATGTTGAACGAATATTGTCTTCCGAAACTTGCAGACTCATGAACCAATGAAAATATTATGTGGCAACTTATCAACTTACGCACGGACTCTATTTATTTGCTTCATATTCGTTTTAATGCGTCGCGGCATCACTTGTAGTTGTTTACAACACCGACAGCAACTCACGTTCAATTGTAATTTGAGCGGTTGGCTTCGTCGTCCAGTGCCTTGCGTCGATGCTGCTGCTGCCGTGGCTATGGCGCGGCAGACCCTGCCACGTCACCGGTTAGCGCCCCGGTCGTCGTCAGGCCATCCCTCTCGCCGCGCCACCATGCATGGCGCGGCACAGCGGTTTCGTCGCGTTAGAAAAAATAAACGCGGACAAAATTGTTAATTTTGAAAAAAAAACAGTGTTAGATTTAAAATTAGTTTAAAAAAGTGTTAAAAAAATTCACGGCATACGCATACGAGGCGATCGCACCGCACGCCGGCCAATAGCTAGCCGTATACCCACGGCGCCCGGCCCTAGCTCCCAGTCCCCATCCTTCCGTTAACCACGCCGGCACCGGGACCGCCGGTCAGGCCAGTGGCCGCTGATCTGATCAGGGCCAGACATGAGCGGATCAGATAAGAGTGCGTACGTGAGACAGTAGTGAAGATGATGTTTGGTTAGGGACGACCTAAGATGAGATGAACCTGCCCTTGATCCGGTATCCTTTCTTGGCAGGTCCCTGCGAAACCAGAGCAGAGATCGGCCCCTGGAATTAGGCGGCTGTGTCGTCGGGAAAAGGCGGTTATGTGTGGTGGCTCTCCGGCTCGATCGGTCCCCATCCCCACAAGTACGTGCTCCCGGTAGTCCACACTCGACACTCCATTGGCCGTCCATGCTGTGTAGGCACGCCGGTCACACGCGTAGCTGTCTGAAGCAGATAAGCATGCATGACGAGGTGAATACTAGGTGGCCGGGTAGAACTAAACCTTGGGCGAGTGATAAGATCAGAGCAGGTGAAACAAGGTTAGAGTAGTAGTAGTAAAATCAAATCTCGTTTACAGCTGATAGACTCGGTCGACCATTGTCCTGCCCACAGCGCATCTCTCGTAGTTTCAGCTGGGTTGATCGAGCTCGCCTAGGCTAGGCGCGGGCATTGGGAACTGGGAAGCAGCAATGCTGCGGGCCTTGGTGAGACGGCGAGAGTGGAACCAATAATAGGCGGCTCGATGGATTGACACGGTCGCGGCCATGCTGGCTCCTGAGAGCAAACCTCGCTCCCGTTCCGATCGCATCGGCACATAGAAACCGCAGACGAGCAGCGGCGCCGCACGGCGCCTGCCTGCCTGCCTGACATTTTGCCGAAGCCACGTACGTACAGACGCCTTGTTTAGATGCCATCCAAATTCTAAGTTTTTTTACTCTCTCTCCATCACATTAATTTTTAGCCACTTGCATGGAGTATTAAATATAGGTAAAAAAAATAACTAATTACACAGTTTAGTTGGAAATCACGAGATAAATCTTTTGAGCCTAGTTAGCCCACGATTGGACAATATTTGCCAAATAAGACGAAAATAATACTATTCATCGGGTTCATTTTTTTTACAAAGTGAACGAGGCTAGAGTAGGATAGTACCGGCAGTAGTTAATCTCGGGCCGCGCAACGGTGGCTCGCCAGTTGGGGCCGGCATCCGGCGCTTCGATCCCATAAACAAGTCCACCCTTGGGCGCGTTTAGTTGGTCTGAATTTTGGATGTGCAAAGTTTGCATAGTGTTCAATTCTCTACTGTAGCATTTTGTTTGTATTTGGTAATAATTGTCCAACTGTTGACTAATTAGGCTTAAAATGTTCGTCTCGTAAAGTACAACCAAACTGTGCAATTAGTTTTTAATTTTGTCTACTTTTAGTATTCCATACATGTACTGCAAATTTGATGTGACGGGAAATCTTCTTTTTACATAATGTCAAAGTTGAGAGTTTGAAAGGAATTAAACAAGGGCCTTGTCAAAGCTTTTCTCATGTTTTCAGACACCTTTCCGTACCCGCGTACTACTAGGCAGGCATGCTCGCATGTTCAATTGGCTGATTCGTATCGTTGCTGGTTCGTGAAAAAATATTACTGACTAATTTATGTGAGAAAAAAATACTATTTCAACTAGAAATTTACGATCGTTTACCACGACGGCCAAACGAACACGCTGAAACAAGTTGGCATTTGCTACCGCAGCTGTACGGCAGTACTGTAGTGCTGTTCTCGATTGGAGTATTGTATTGCGCACCTGCCAGAAATGCATGCCTGGTGCGCACGGCATCGGCATGCCCAGGCGACAGACATTCTGATCCCGGATCGGAACTGGATTCCTCTGAGATTCCAAAGGCGCAGAGAGGCTGACCGCCTGGTCATGCACATTGACCGTCAGCCTGTTCCCAAAGATGGATTGGGGTTAGGATTAGGAGTACCAGATCTGACCATTTGCTGAGACCTGAGAGCACTAGCTGTCTAGCTGGACCGGCATCCGTGCAATATACTAGTAGTTCGTCTGACAAGGAGATGTTGGAGCCCGAGAGATCGCATGTGAATGTGATGCTTTCATCGATCTACCTAGGGCGGCGTTCTCTCGTGATGAGCTTCGTTCTTAGCTAGTCCGTGATGAGCTTGCTTGGGCGTCGCGCTTCCTGAGAAACTCACGGGTGATTCAACTGTGAACGGAAACTCGAACAAGTCCAGCGCGCAGAGCAGCTGGCTGAAAGTTGCAACGTGCATGGGGCAGCATTGCTTCGGGATTCGAGGAAAAGAAGGTCTGTCATTTATCTGGTTGCTTGCCGAGGAGGAAATCGTGGTGTTTATGCCGGCGCGGCCTCCAGCACGTACGTACGCAAACTGTACTACTCCTGTGCGCGTAGTCGTGAGAACAGGAGGGAATGTTTGGTTCGCTGGTCAAACCCGCGCTCCGCCGGCCCGCCGGCACTTTTTCTCGGTCGAGGGGACGACGCTAAAAAATAATGGAACTACACATGCACGCCCCCTGGATGATGTTTCGCTGAAGGCGGCGCACTAGGGCGTGCAGCTTGCGCTCACACG